ACTTCAATTTCTCACAACCATTGTTCTGTCTAAATCCTTATATCACTGAAAACTAGAAGGTTTCTGTATTAGATAATGTTGATTAGAATAACATAACACACCAATTCCCAAAATATAAAGACTCATATAGGACAGACATTTATTGTTCTTGATCAGCAGACTACTCTCCTCCAAGCAGTGACCCAAGCTCCTGCCTTTTTGTGGCTTTATTACTTTTAATATGTGATTTCCTAGGTCACTGCACAGACCTTCACCAAATCAGTGGAAGGAAAGAGGCAAGTAGGATCGCAGATGAGAATGTTTTAAAGCCAGACGTAGAAATGGCACACATCTTCTCTGAGTATGTTCAATTGGCTAGAATTCAGTCCTATATGCATACTTAACTGTAAGGATACCAGGAAATGAACCTTAACTTTGTGCCTAGAAAGAAAACAGGTTTGTGGAAAGCTCTGCCTTCTGGCCCCCAATTTCCCATTTTACCCTCAATGTTTGGCATTCATTTCTCTCCAGTTCATTCTTGCTAGCATCCCAAGTCCAACAATTACTTGATTCCATTAAGGCCTACCAAAAATTGATCCTTCTATTCTTGTTTCTTACCACTTTTATGTCCTCAATTCCTTTCTCACATAGCTTCAACTCTATGGTTCACCATGTTAATCATTCCCTTGTACAGGTGCTCAACTCACTGCATCAATTTACCAGTGAACACTCCAATTATGATTAAACCCATGCATCTGCTTTTTCTGAGATTGCATCTAGGTAGCTAAATAAGACTGCAGAAAAACTCAGAGCCAAGCTTGATGATTGCATTCTAAATTCATGAGCACCCACCTCAACTGGGTCCTTAGCACTACCCCCTAAGTTTACTAAACTTCTCTAGTCCTTTCCTTTTCTTCCTCTTTTCATTTGACTCCTCATGTGTTTTCATTCTCATGATGACCTTGCTTTAAATGTCACTGAGAAAACGGAAGCAACATGAAGAAAATTTCAAAAAGCTGCCATCCATGGCATCTCCTACCCACCTTCAGCAGTGCCCTCATATGCTACCCTTCCTTCCAGTAACTCTGGAAGTCCTATATGTTTCTGTCTAAAACCAATCTCTCCACTTGTACACTAAACAGAGCTAAAACTACTGAGCACCTTCACCGTGGCTGGCACTATTATAAAGTCTGTTTACTAACTTAATTCTCATTGCAGTCCTATGAGGTAGGTACTGCTTTTATCCCAACTTTACAGATGTAAACATTTGTAGACAGATAACTAGGTAAATTGACAAGGAACCTCCCTTGAGTCCTGCTGCTGATAAACAGCAGGCTCTGATGGGAGCCCCAGCAGGTCATTTCCAGAATGTATGTCCTTCACCAGCTACAGTTCCCAAGATAGAGTCAATTACTGCCCACTTCCTCAAGGACTTCAGCAATTCTCTCCACTCTCTCCCACATCATATCCATCAGCATACAACATATCATTTTCTGCATATTTTAAAATAAAATCTCTCTGGATCCCACATTGCCTTTCAGAGAGCATCCTATTTCTCTGCCCCGACTTTAATTAAACTTCTCAAAAAAGTTGTCTATATTCATCTATATCAGCCACCTCCAATTCGCTCCTCCGTTAAAGTCTCTCCACCTAGGCTTTTACCCACAACTTCTCTACTTGAAAGATCTTCAGTCAAGGCCTTCAGGGGCCTCATTGTGTAAACACTAATGTTGAATCTTCTTAGTCTTCCTCTTTCTTCACTTGGGTTCCTTGATACATGTTCTCTGATTGATGCCTCCCAACTACATACCCTAGGCCTGGATACTGTCTCTGAATTCCAGATTTGTATTTTTGACTACCTCTAGAATGATCTCCACCTTGATGTCTAAAAGGCATCTCAAACTTAAATCTAAAAACAAATGTTTCTGCTACAAAAAGTCTCAATGGCAACCTTACTCCTTTTGTTGCTCTGGCTAAAAATCTTGGTGTTATCCTTAACTCCTTCTCTTTAACTGAACATCTAATCTTTTAACAAATCTTGCTAGCCCCAATTTCAAAATGTAGTTGTAACTCTACCATGTCTCATCACTCACTCTGAGCTCTTACCATCCCATCCCTGAAACTGTCAGGATGCCTGGCTGGATGGTTGTTATCAACATTAGTCTCCTTTATTGTTCATAGGAATCTTCGCTCTTCTGGTTTTGCTTCCCCTTCTCACTCCCAGCTCGGCCCTTGGTGCCAGTGTAGGATTTTAGAACAGATAAACAAGGAAGAAGGTTGTCTTTGGGCAATGCTGCTTCCATCCTGTCATGATGTTCCCCTGTGCCAAGGAAGACCAGAGTCTGGCTACCTGCTTGGAATTCAGAGAGGGAGAACTACAGGGAAAAAAAATTTGCCATTTTAGTAAATTACCCTACCAGAGTGAAAAAACAGTTCCTCCTTTTAAAGAGTTTGTGTGAGGTGGAGATGGAAGTAGTGACAATGAAGAGCAAGGAAAACACCACCACTGCCTCTCAACCACGAGTCATATGGATGAAAATAAACCAGCCATCTCTGGAATAGGCCACAAAAGTAGTAGTGACTTCAGGGAAAAGGTTATTTTTAGTTTAGGCAAGGAAGAGGGAACACTCAAGGCAAGTGGGTGGAAAATGAGGCATTTGCACACTGGACATTAACCAAAGAAAACAGGGATAGGGTGTGATAAGACAAAACTACTCAGCGTTCAAGTGTTCCCAGAAATATGACAATGACAGTGGGTTAAATATTACAAAACTCAAATTTCTGTGGTGAGCAAGTATAATTTGCTATAACAAAATCAGCAAGAGATAAAGCAATAGTCTTTGCAAAGTAAAATCTCATAGGAGAGCTCACTTTGAGAAAAAATAAAACTGCTCAACTCCATGACAACAGGTTACGGTGTAAATATAAACTCTACAAGAAAGTTTCTTTACCCCCAATAAGCCTATTTATTTTCTATAAGGCAATTGACTGTTAACTATTATTTCAGCTTTTGCCCTTATCTAAATAATAAGATAGACAATTCATGCTAATAAAAACCTGTGCTCATTGATTCTAATTTTTAATATGATCAAGGCAGAATTTTAAAATCTGGTTTATGTTTACTTCTACACTGACCATATGATACACTCCAACCCTCTCTCCAATTCTTTCCTGCTTCTAGCATGCTGCCCTATTTGCCTTTCTCAATCCTACCATGATAATCTCACCTATTAGTCCTTTCTCAATAAGATTCCTATCTTGACTGTCTCCTTTTCTGTCACTCATCCACTTAACAAATACAGCTTAAGGACCCACTGTATTCTGGACAGGTATGTATTATAACACTTAAATTTGTACATTCCTTCTCTTAATAAATATGTAATTTAGGGTGGACCTTCCTGTGGTAGACTATAAACTACTTGAGATCAGATATTGTTGTAGTTATCTTAGTAATCATGGCACCTAGCATATGGTAACATGCACATAGTAGGCTCTTAGATATTTTTCTGAATACTTAAATCAGTGGTATCCTTGCTACCCTAGGTAGTTGTTACAGAAGCAGAACAGGCCTCTATATTTAACAAATGAATGAGTGAATAGGTGGATATGTGCCTATTCCCAGAACTTTTAGAAGAATTCAAAGAATTTCCTAATATTAGAAGCTATTAGAAAATTATTATTAATAATGTTAGTTATATGACTGTGGTTTTAAAAAAGTCCTTATTTTTAGAAATACATACTGAAGTACTTATAGTGAAATGCCATGAAGCATATGGAATTTAAATTATTTCATCAACAACAAAACAGATGAAGCAATATGATAAAATAATCATTGTTAAATCTAGTTATATTCTATATAACTAGTATATTCTGGTATAGTCTAACACTTGAAATGCAATTAGCAAGATGACAGGAACATATTAAGACCCTAAAATTAATCAGATTGCCTTTAGGTAAATCAATAACAAGTAACATCAACACTCTCATTTCGAAAAGTACAATATAGTATAATTTAAAAGTAACTGAGAATGATTCACACTAGAATAACAAGAGGACAGCATTCTAAACTATTTATGGGGGGTAGGAAGGAAATCTCTTATTTAGAAATAAAATATTAATGTTTAAGAAAATAAATAAAGACCAAAAAAATATGTGATCAATCCTTTATTTCTATTTAGTGAAAATGGATTTTTCTTTACATGTCTTCTTGAGCTTTTCTTGTTATATAGGTAATACCAATATATTTGCTGACAAATAAATAGAAATAAATTAATCTTAACATTATAAAAGAATAAGATTTACAACTTGGCTATGAACATTTCACTTCAGAAATATGTAATCTTCTCTTATATTAATATTGTAATATCCCTGGTTACTTTTAAAGACTGAAAGCCAGAGATACCTTTCACAGGGCGCTTTCTAAAAAATAAAATAAAATTGTCACATAAGGACAAAATTGTAGCTTATCCAACATACAAGTAATGGGCTAAGTCCTGGTTCATTACCTGCAAAGGAAGGATCAGTCTTTCATTCTATATTCCTCCCTTGCTATAATCAACACTCTCGGCTCATTAGCATGTTTTTCCTTTAAAATATTTTGCTTAGCCGGGCTCGTGGCTCAGCCTATAATCCCACGCCTTTGGGAGGCTGAGGTGAGTGGACTGCCTGAGCCCATGGGTTCGAGACCCGCCTGGGCAGCGAGACCTCATCTCTACAATAAATCAAAAAAATCAGCCAGGCGTGTAGCGCATGCCTGTAATTCCAGCTACTTGGAAGGCTGAGGTGGAAGGATCGCCGGAGCCCAGCAGGTCGAGGCTGCAGTGGCTGGCAGTGGCCACTGCACTCCAGTCTGGGTGACAGAGTGAGACTCCAACTCAAAAAAAAAAAAAAAAAAAATTTGTCAACCCATTCGGAATCATTTTAATGGAATAAGAAAAGAGAAAATGTTTTACAACCAAGGATTATGTTATAATGTGATTCATCACTCTTTGGCAATTTTGCTTAGAAGAGACTGAATCCAGTTTTTTGTTTTTGATGTCCAATGTTTTTAATTTTTTTTTTAAGTAGAAATAACATTATACATCTAGCAGGGGAAAAATCACTTATTTTCTTTTCTTCATGCTCCCATTCTAAGTATTAACAAATTTCTATACTTTCCTACACTTTTAGGAAAGTGATCACTCAATTCTTTGAGTTGTTCTATTTCTAAGAGGTTTAGGTGTGTTAAGAATGTGATTCCAGGAACAAATCCTTTCTCCTTGATTTGTTGACATTCCTAACACATCTTAAAGGCAGTGATAACATTAGAAATGAAGAGCACTATTTCATTTATTATATCCATGCCTGCAGATAGGTCTAAGGAACTAGAAACAGTCTGTGTACTTGTATATACTTTCTTCTTAACTCTTCTTTGACTAAGTCAGTCAGCCAATGGATACTAGTATCGAAAGCAAAACTGTCAATGTTAAACATGTGTCTCCTGAAAATTAAAAAAAAAGTTACAATCAAAATAATTTTATTGACTAATGACAAACATCAATTTTTAGTTACTATGTGATTATCAAAAATAATCAATTAATTTGGGGCAAAAAACAAATAACAAATTGGTAAGTTTTTAGAGTGTGGATAATATTCTATAAAGTATAATTTAGTAGCTACCGCAATAACTAAAATATGACAAAGAGTTTTTAGTTTCGTGAGATGAACAGTGGCCAACCTAGAATCAATTAAGGTATGTTCAGATTAAGAGTCAATGAATTCCTACAGGTAGGAGATATCAAAAATAAAAATAAAAAAATTAAAGTCAAGGAAGACTCTCTGAATACTACAATGTAGAATAAAGGGAAGATTCACTAAGATACTAAGACACTTAGAAAGCTTCATAGATACATTGGATGAATTTACACCAAGTTATTTTTATGTAATAATTTTATATAAAGACATAAAAGAGATGTCTTTTAGATCTACAAAAAATGACCTATAAAAAAGATATTGTAACACATAATTTCTTAAACATGGAAAACTCTAAAAGCCAGTAAGCAAAAGGAGAAACAAATACAAGGTAGAATGCAAATTGTCATAAAAAAGGCATTCTTTTTAAGTCCTAATGTATCATTCCTCACCCCCCCATATTTGTGGCATTATAGTATCTAATTATTATAATAAATGAAACACAAAACACAAGATGAAATGATAAGCATACTGCTAACAAGTCCAGAACTGATGACATGTCATAGCAATGAGAGATTAAATGTGTTAGTCTTTCATACTCTATTATCTTTTAAAAGCCATCGAGAAACCCCAAGTCAACTGTATTAATGGATATTTTGCAAGATACAGAAATGTGATTTTATTGAACCATGTATACCTTTTATAATTTACCACAAAGTCTTATTTCTGAGGCACCACCAGTCACACTTAAATTATGAAACATAACATTGATATGTTTGTTTTGTTGTTCTCATGTATATTATAAGAGCTAAATAGTAGAGAAGGAAAAGACTAATTGAATTTTATAATTTTAACTTCAATCAAAAAGCAAAATCAAGCGTTCGCTTATGTTCTCATCCCTAAACTAAGATTTATTATACAAACCCAACTCTTCTTTTTTTTTTTTTTTTTTTTGAGTTGGAGTCTCACTCTGTCACCCAGACTGGAGTGTAGTGGCCGCTCCCGGCCACCGCAGCCTCGACCTGCTGGGCTCCAGCGATCCTTCCAAGTAGCCGGAATTACAGGCATGCGCTACCATGCCCGGCTGATTTTTTGATTTATTGTAGAGATGAGGTCTCGCTGCCCAGGCGGGTCTCGAACCTGCGGGCTCAGGCAATCCACTCACCTCAGCCTCCCAAAGGCGTGGGATTACAGGCTGAGCCACCGAGCCCGGCAAACCCAACTCTTCTAAAAGAAATAAATAAAACCTTTGATAGGTAAAAACACAACCACTAGATGAAGCTACATTACCACTTTCACTTTAATTAACTATATCCTCTGTCTTAATTAAAATCAAATATTTAACTAAATCAGTATAAAATCAGGAGGCTAGGCAGGCATATATAAAGTTAGTGCTTACCCTCAACAGCCTATACTTCCAAAATAAGGCAAGTGGAGTGTTTTTAATGTGCACACGAAAAAGGCAAATTCTTTCTTAAGGGTTTGCACAAATTCCCCCTTGATTCAGAAACTGAGCAGTAAGTTTATTGCAATATCCCAAAATACAATTCAAAACAAATACAGTAGTCCCTTTACTTGTGTTTTGAGTTACCTGTGGTTAATAGGAGTCCAAAAACAGATGAGCATAGTACAATAAAATATTGAGACAGAAAGACAGCAAGAGAGACCACATTCACATAACTTAGGTTATAGTATACTGTTACAATTGTTCTATTATTACTTGCCGTTAATCCCTTACCATGTCTAATTTGTAAATTAAGCTTTATCTCATAAGTATGTATACATAGGAAAAAATATAGTATATATAGGATTAGGTACTATTTATGGTTTCAGGCATCCACTGAGGGTCATAGAAGATATCCCACAGATAAGGGGGCTACTGTATTCCCTTCTATGTTCCAGCACTTTTCATCCTATTAAAAATATCCTGGCCATTCATTTTACCAAAGTACATAAAGAAACTGAAGAAAGCAGAGAGCCACCTGGTAAACTCACCACATTCTGCCCCATGGAGCCCCAAAGTACTAGCTTTGATAAAGTTAAAATACTCTATAAATTGGTAATTTACAATTTGATAAATTGATAACACTATTTCAAAAAAAAGAGTTGGAACAAATGCAAGAAGATGAATTAAGACTGGTGGACTTAATTTTTTTAGAGTAGTTTTGTTGAGGCATCTGTATCAACTTCACTCACTTTATATGACTTTTGTTGGGCTCTAAATCACATTCCTAAAATTTTTCTGAAAAAAATTCGGATAAAAAGTTATATCTTACTTCATATGCTTTTGTAACATCTGAAATATTTACTGGTATTAAACAAACACCCATAAAAACTATTAACAACCCTCTCCTTCCCCAGACCTAATGGTCAAATATTTTTACTAAAAGATGGATCCATTTCATGATTTAAAGAATATTTACATACTTTAGCTTAAAATAGGCTTAAGTAATATTATCGTTTAAGAAAAAAGGAAAGAATTATAGAGGAGAAAAAGTAGATAGCTGACATTATCCAAATAATTAAAATGGGCAATTTAATAACAGCATTAAAATACATTTGTTCATATTAATCAATGAAAAAAAATGGACAGGCATTAAGGTTGCTTAGAAATATCTCAAGTCTGTGTAAACTCCACAATTCGTTTTCTAAACAGTAAAATCTAAAAAATAGGGCCAATTTAAAGTATCTTCTTTGTCGACAGAATACATCAGAGCCAACCATGGCATTGAAACTTAATTATTAGTTTTGTATCATATTATTTTATATTATATAATTATAATTGAAATTATTTGCAAATTTTGGAGGGGAAGGAAAAAATAAAACAGAAATTATATAATTTAAATTTCAATTAAAAAGTACAATCAGACATATGGATTCAATGCAGATTAGATATTTCAAATAATACTGATTTGTGTGTATTTTAACATTTGTGCTTACTAGGTACCCAAGTAAAGTTTTAGGCACTTTACCAATGGCAACTCACATGATCTTTACTACAATTCCATGAGGTAGGTATTGTATTTCCTACCTCATGAGAAAAACGAGGCATAAACAGGTTAAATTGCTCACAGTCACATAACTCCTACATGGTAAACCTAAGATTCAGACTGAGCAGTCAGACTCCAAAGTCTGCTGTCTGAACTGGGCTGTTTGGGGTTATACCGGCATCTATCAAGAAATATAGCTAATCACAGGCAATTTCATGGTATGTTAGAAGTTGATTTTTCCTGATTTCTTTGCTTCTCCACAACACACAGATACTATCATAAGTTATAACTGAGTAGAATAAAAATATACTGAGTTGATTAATAGATCACAAAGTGAAACTTTGGCTTTTAAGTCACTTCTCTTTGAAATGTGGTTAGCAGCCTTGTGTATATTGAGAAAGAAAGGCACAAAGTTTATTCATTCAGGACAGTGATGACAGACAAAAGAAATGAACTAACAATATGTCAAAAAAGCACAATAAAGCTACAAGAGTTACCTACTAATACAGTATCATATTTTACTGAAAAGAAGCCAAGAATAAATTTTAAACATCATCAGAATTTCTGCTTACCCTGATTTTCCACAGTCCCATGCCTAGAATTAGGGTAGCAATTAACATAATACCAGTAACAATTCCTTGAGAGGAAAAAATATGGGAAGGCAGTTAATAGAAACATAAGCAACTACATGTTACAGTGGAGTTTCACAATGATTTAAGTACTGGTTATGAAGCAAGTTAAAGAAAAAATAGGATATAAATTGCATTTTATATATGGCTTCTTTATGTCTCAAGTTTGACAATCACATTGTTGTGTTTTCTTTGAAAGAAAAAACATTTGTCATGTTTTCTTTGAAAGAAAAAGAAAACATTTAAGGCAAGGTATCACAATGCTCAAATGTAAATTTTAACAGACTTGAGAGGATTCTAAAGTGTTTTAACCTAACCATACTCAATTTTAAATGTTTTGATTATTGATCATTCAAATATAATGACAGAATTAAGTTATTTTAGAGTTAGAAGGTATTGTGGAGTTCACTCTCATTTTGTAGATGAGTAAACTGAGTCTCAGGAAGGTGGAAATTACACGTGGCTAACGGGGAGGCCATTTACTTAGTTTGTAGTAGAGAGAACTGACATGTAAGCATTTCCCTATCACAGGAAAGATGCTTATACTATTATCATTTGAGATTGGAGGGCAAAATATGTTTAACTTTGACTACAGAATATGCTTTTTAGTGTTCAGTCTATTATAGATGAAATTCCATTTCAGCAAATAATTGGTCAATATCAAATCATTTTTATAGCTGCCCTTTTACATAATCTTTCTTCTCAAAACTACCCATTCACCCTTTTCTCTCACCATCCTCATTCTCTCCCATTCCCCATGTCCCTGAACTTTACTCCTTTGATTTGTATAACAAAGGAAATTATAGATGACACTAGAAAAGCAGCTAAAGCTATATGACTAGTGAGTGCATTTGGTTGTAAACTAGCATAATATACATGTGGCACAATTGTACTGCCATAAGGATACATGATTTTAAAAACTGCTACTTTTGACCACAGGAATGTATTTTAACTTATTAATTTCTTTAACTGATCCTCTAGCACTGTATCATTAGCTTAGAATGAATTTCATTAGAATGAAATTATAATTCCAATGTTCCTAATCATTACATTGAAGAGCTCTTAGATAGGAAAATGACATAATTTTAGAAATAGATTTCTCTCCAATAAAAGGAGTAGTTTAGTAAGATTCTTCATCATGTAGAACTATATTTATGTAGTGTTTAAAACACTGCACAGCAGTTTGCCAC